AAATCGATTTTTTGACTGTTGCCACGAAATTTCGAATTGGTCTGGTTTTTACGGACAGCCGCTCTTAAATATATTAATAAATAGATAATAAAAGTTAATTCATACATTAACTTTTTTTTTAACAGTTGCAAGCAGTTCAAATGAAAGTGACGACCTCCCACCTCTTCCACATGGAACTAYTGGTTTCATGAGAAAAAGGGAAGTTGCTGGGAATTCAGAGAGTGACTCTGATAGCGATAAATCAAGTTATACCAAGAGAGATGGATGTGAAACCCCCTCCACTGCAATTATTTCTGATTCAGAAGATGGTAGGTACATATCACTGCAGATTTCCATATTCTGTGAACTCAGATTTTCTAACAGCTTGCTATGAAATAGTACTGTTTTTCGCTGCCATCAATCAAAACTAATTAGTCAGTACCTTTTRTTTTTGATTTACGGCAGCCAAAAACCCATTTCGATTGGGGTCCCTGTGCATTCAAAATGGCGCCACAACAACACGAGTTGAAGTATTTCAATATAGTTTATTAATTTGTGGCTTTTTGGTACATGGAAAGTTTACACTGTTCTTCCCACTGAGATTCAAAGTAATCTCTAATTTTCTAAGACATGGAGCTACAAAGTTTTCATCCAATTTCGTGAGTAAGCTTACAGTTAAACATGGGATCGCAAAGCCTCGGGTTACAGTCTGTCGTTTTGCATTTTACACATCTGTAAAATGTGAAATGACGGTTTCGCATTTTCAAGATCTGTAAAATGCGAAATCCTCGTTTCGCATTTTATTGTTTCGTTTCGTTTCGTGGTTTATGGTAAGCCTTTTTTCTTTAAATGTCCCTTATATGCTGCTCAGAGAAATTCTCTTTTTACCTCAGCTGCATTGATTTGTGGTAGTTTGTGGCAAAATGTTTCTTCAAAAATGCAAAAACTTAGTTGGTTTTTATATGGCTCAGTAGAGACTTAGACTTAAAAAAAAAATCGTGAACTTTTCACTGAAGTACAAAAGTATATATTAGCTACAAAACGTTTTTTGTTCACCAAAGATTAATTATTTTTTCATTTCCTGTTTTCATTATTTCGCTTTTGCTATTTTAATTTTCTTTCTTTGTGCTGTAAATATCATGGATGTGAGCCCCTTGTTAAGCTTTACAGCTTTTGGGGCAAATGTTTAGATATATGTTTAAATAATRAAAAAAAGAGTCCAAGATAAGTTGATACCTTAAATTGGTAATTAGGACGGTAAAATGTTTTTTCATTATTAAAAAGAAATGCAAATTAACTGATTGGATTGTATATTAATAAGAATAAAGGCAGATACTCATGCACTGAATTGAGACTAACATGACAGCTAGCTGTTAAGATCTATAAAAATGGAAAATTAATCAAAATATACAATTTTCAAAAAWAGTGTATTGGCTTTGAAATGGAAACGTTTACTGGGAACAGATTTGAACTTGCCTTATTTTATTAATAACAGTAGAAAATGAGATTCAAAGTATATTTTAACAGCTCATGTGGTTGTTAATTATGGGGGRAAACATCAACAACAAATATTAAGTAAGGTATATATTTTATAATAATTATTTAATTCTAATTTTTGTTAAGAAATAAATGTTATAATGTATTAAGGGGATTTCGATCAGAACAAATTTCAAAGCCATCTTTTCAACATTCATGATTCTCATAAATCCTGTTACAATATAATAATATGTTGTAAGRTATGACTACTACCTGRTTATTATTTATAAGATCTTATGATAAAATCTTACTAAGATCTTGTTAAGAATCTTATAAGAAATTCCATATCTTATAAGATTCTTACAAGATTTTGTTTGATACAAAATTTTGTTTGATACAAAATATTGTTTACAAGATCTTATAACATTGATTACTTAATAAAATCATACTAAGACCTTACTAAGGTTCTTATACGAAATTCCATCTTACAAGATTCATAATAAAATCTTATTAAGATCTTATAAGATTAYTTTAAGGAACTCCATCTAATAAGATTCTTACAAGATCTTGTAAGATCTTGTAAGGTCTTCATGAGATTTCCACCTGGGAGCCCATGAAAGACTAGCCTAGAGGATTGCAGTCCCTATTTTATAGAGTGGAGACAGGTTAAATTTACTTATACATCTTTGGCCCACTTAAYTAAGTGATTATTTTGTAATCAAACTCTGACTGGCTTTGTAATTTTACGCGGAATTCGACATACGTGACATAACAATGTCATGTGTATAGCCAGCGTTTTTTTGGTCAGCGGTACCCATAATAACAAGAACGAAGTAAGGGAGGTAAATCGAAGAATGAATGAAGCTGAGCAAAGTACAACTCTTGCTGGTGTAAAATGTTAATACTTTTCAATGAAAATATAAGGTAATACACKACGGAAACTTCAAGTTCTATTTGGAAGATGACCTGTTTAAATGCAGCATTTGCCGCCAAAAAGCAATGGCGGAGTGTTCTCTGACCGATGCTTTCCGGGCCAAACAAGTGCATGGTGCTTCTCTCGATCCAGTGAAGAAATGGTTCTTGTGTAAAAAGAAGTATGTGGGAGTAAAGACCACGAGATTACATGAAAATTTACATTTTCACTCAATTCCCTTTCGTAATCCAGTATATACCAAGGAAGGATTTGTATGTTCTTAGGAATGGCGGCACACGAACCTTAGAAGTCAGTAATTGCTAAAAGCAGTCAATTCATGCGTATGTTTCTTCTACTTTTGGCCTCTTGGTTGGCATTTTGCGCCAGGGCGAGTTTCCAGCGAATGCTTTTGAATGGTCAAGTATATCGAAATCAGAATTCCAATCTTTAAAARAGCTTGATTTGAAGTCGGAAAACAAAATAGCGCCGTCTCCGAAGGAAAAAACGACAGCATATCTACCACTTACACAGTTAAGAGCAGATGTCCACTAATTTGAAACAAAATCGAGAATTCGCAGTCACAGATAAAATTTCTATTTTACTCATTTTTGGTTTGCAAGGTATTACCGAGTAAACAAACGTGGTGTAGTTTTTTTTCTTCAAAAAAACGCTAAATTCTGAGAAATCCGAGAAAAACTGTTGGCCTAGCGGCGACCTCAAAAGTATGCAAATTTTCAGTTGAATCAAACAGGTCCAAAAACAGCTAAGGCATGCAGAATAGGAAAAAGATATGAAAACTATATGTTTATAAATTGATAGAAGAGATGTTTGAGACTTGATTGAGTATAAAATAATGGTTTTAGCTATTTATTGAAAGCGGTCAGATGATATTTAGAATTGAGTGGTATTCACACTTATTTGACCCTTGTTACGCCAAAAATAAAAAATCAAAAAAAAAAAAAATCAAAAAAAAATCAAAAAAAAATCAAGTGCCCCACGTTTTTCTCAATGAAACTCACGTCACGAACTATTTAGATGTTCTTCTAGAACATATCGAAAAATCAGTTTGGGATATTTAATTTAGGGCTCACACGGAGGCCGTGAACATTGGGTATTTTCGACATATACCATGACTAAAATGTTTGTTGTTTTTGGTCGCTATTTTCTCATAAAATGCATTCGAATACCTTCAGCATTTCTTGTCAGAATTGTGGAAAACATTTTCGAACCACGCATTCCTTAAAAAAACACTGGCTGCAGAAACACCCTYGTCGTAATCGCCCAAAAGTTTTTCCAGTTACCGCTGACGCTCGTGAAGTTGACATTCCTCAGCCTGAACGAATTTGTTTCATTTGTTTTAAAAAAAACTTCATTATTGTTCACTCGAATGTATTCTGTAATATTGTGAAGAAAAGAATTAAAGAACTTGATGTGATCGGGGTAGTTCTATTAATATATCTGAAAGGAGAATCAATCTATGCGGCGAATAAACAAATTCACTAGGCCATAAATTCATAAATACACATTAGAGTGATTGCAAATAGCCAGTGGAATCCCCGTGAAATAGTTAGTGGAGATGGAAGACTAATAACCACAAGTAAACCGTGGCAACCCAGAGTTCCATCCRGCTGGGCCAAACAGCAATAAGCCGGCAGTAAAAGCAATGCGTCATGCAAAAACACTTTTACTGGCTAAAACTATGTTTTACTATTATGTGTTAAAAGATTCTAGACTGGAACCTCTTACAAAGATATACATAAAAGAGCTGATAACAGGGACAATACAATACAGGTGTCCAAAGTAGATACATTATGTTTAAATTTTGCATGGTGGAATATTTTTGAGGTGTAATTCTATCTTTAATTAGGATTAGGAGGTACCACTCTATGAAGCGAATGCCATAAAATAATAACTTAGTTGATTTTATAGTCCTACTGTCTATGTAAAAACTAATATAAATTTGATTTAAAGGAGTACTCTACTTTTTTATGACCCACTTTCTTTCTGGGGGGAAGAGTGACTGCCAGCATATTGTCCGACTACTCCTYGTCCCTGAAGGATGATCTTATAAGTCGGCGGCCCTTCACTAAATCCAAACGACTTGGTTACCAAAACAAATTACTACTKGCTACTTTCAAGAGAGGTACGGTTTCATTTTAAAACTCACATCTAACTTATGTTTGCTATRTTGTGTATTTTTCTTTCCTTGTTTCCTTCCCCTGCGAAATGAGTTCCCAACTTACACAACTGGAAATTCCTAGGAATTCTTAAGAATTAGTAAATCAGAAATTCTTAGACTTTTTAATCACTCTTTCCAAGTACAGATCTTGATTCCCAATAATTCCCATGAATTCTTAGACTATTTATATAAATTGTCCATAGAATGATTTTCCTTCATTTACTTCAGCTATTGATAAAAAAATGGGAGTTTTTAGCTCAATTTAATCAATAGTTAATGATACAGTTTGATAGACAAAGTAGTTAAGAGAATTTGACTAGAGGGTCCATTTTATATATTACATGGTAACAATATCACTACATGTAGTAATTATCAATGGTACATCAATCATACTGTTCATGTAGCTGTCAAGCTATCCACAAACTCCACAAAAGTTGGGGGCACGAACTAATGATAAACAGTCCTGATTTCCTTCAAGGAACACCACTTTTTCTTCGATCTGTTCGATTCTGGAAACCTTGAACTCAGACCTAGATTATTACAAAAAGTAGATTATTAATAAAAAATAAAAAATATAGTGATGTAGTATTGGTATCCGAGTGTCCATGCACAATGCAATTTAGGCTCCAGGAAATTAAAAAAAAAAAAAAAGGATTGAGCTGATTAAGTTTAAATCCCTGAGGTGTCTGACACCTTAAATTGCTTAGTGCAAGATCATTCAGCCAGAATTTAATAGAAAGGGCAGTTCTCACCTTAGGTGTGTTATCTTTAGCATATGGTGGCCAACATTAGCCAGAAAATCCTTATCACCAAACTCTGAAGCAMAGCTTCCTCCTACCATTTCATTGACTTAGCATCCAAACATTGACAAACATGCACCAAAGACTACTATGGTACATGAATCACCAGCACATCACACACTTAATACATATCATCATGGCCAACATATCACCACATACAATGTATACACCAGAAACAGAGTCCACAAGGATATAGTACACCACTTAATATGCACTACACAAATTATTCAAAACACCAGTTYCACAAGCATGCTAGAAGAATCACTCACACCCTCACTCAGCTCAACACCACCATTACAAGTCCGGCTGACTAATGGCTATAGGAGTGAATGGGAGTCATTCAGGCAAACCATCACCATGGAGATGGAGAAGCTGAAGGCAGAAGTAGAGAATTTGAAGCAAGAAGTGAAATCTTGCGAAGAGCAATGAAAGAAAAGGTATATTAAAATTTAGTTTGGTAAATGGTATCAGTTTAGCTGACTTACAGCAATGAAAAAAGGTCAGGTTATTWTTTTTCTTACAACAATTGTATTTCTAAATAGAACCATCAAGTGGAACAGCAAGTATTAGAAAAACAGCTGCAATGTAAGTTAAGACCGTCAATGTTAACGCATAYTCTCACATGCTTTTATTTGTGCTAAGGTTTTACTCTTGAAGCCGGAGGAGAGTATTGGTGTCCCTTCTCACAAGCACCATGATTACCACACTCCTAGACGACCCCACCATGACAAGTTCCTTGTTAGAGTTTCTTCTTCAAATACAAAGTGGCTTACCACAGGGCTAACTTAGAACTCGTTTGTTGGCGCTCTCAAAGAGCATTGTGATGRCTTCCAACTCCAAGGAAGGAAAAAGGTAAATTTGATGCATGCATAACGTTAAATACAACCTGTTTCACATTACTTCAGCAATCTACATTCTTACCATTTTTCATTTCTTTTAAAGGATATATACAGTTCCATGAGATTTGATTTCACTCAAGATCAGAGTTTTTTAATAGAAAACGAAACAGCCTTGAACAAAGATCTGCCCAGACTTGTAAAAAGGAACAAGATATTCTTTGAAACAAATTTCATCTATTTAATTTTCACATTTTCAAGTTATGATGCTCCATTTTAAATATTTTCTTTTATGTATTCAAAGTTGTTCTTTGTCTCATAGGAAACTAAGGAGTGTTTAACAGCAAAAACTGACAACACTATGACATGTACCATGGTTTTTGYATTCCACAACCAAGCGCAAGTGGCGGACGTGCGAAAGAAAACACCCGGCCTTGTCAAAAAAGCGAAAGGGTACAAAATTCTTAAAAGGCTTCTGGGAGAGAAACGTGTTTCTTTGATTGAATGTAGTAAGAAACATTCCTTTCGAATTGGTTAAGAGAAGAGGCTAAAGGTCAATGATAGAGATGAGGATGGTGTACTTTACTTTTCGTGAAGGAAGATGTAGAGGAGGTGGACATGTTACTCTCCAACGGAACTTTCCAGGTACACCCAATATCATCAAAATATKTAAACCATGAAGTTTTTCCATCTTTTAAAGTAAAGAAAAAAATACATTGCCAAAGCAATTACACAAAAATAAACCAAAATATCGTTTCAGATAACACTGATACCGAAACTCAACCAAAAAACACAGGGTTATTGATGTGAGTTACTGGATGCGATTGTAATGAATATTATTCGTATTTTCAATATTTCAACAGTAACGTCATTAATAAGTTCTCTTTTATCTAAAAATTGACAGGAACGTTCTCTTCCATCGAAATTAAGATACCAACTTATGTCTCCGGGAAAGAAGTAGACATTTACAAAGCTAACGTTTACGCAAGTTCACGATCATCCCACTATAGCTAACTTTTAAACGTGAAAAAGAAAGGTAATATACTGTAATATACTAGTCATTATATTGCATCTATTGTCAACTGTTTTAGATTTTATTAATTATCAGTTGTTTCAATTCCTGAAGGGTGAACTGGCAGCCATACGTCTAGCAAACGGGGAATCCTTGGGGCAACAGTAAGTGTTGKGTCAGAAGACAGAAGGTTTGCACAAAATAAACAATAATATTCATACATTGGTCATTTACATCGATGGTACTATGATACTTTTTATCTTTTTGTTTCGGTGACAAATTTAAWGGGACCTCATTTCCCTCCTCACATAACTCACGAGATAAAGGTACGTTTGATTTATCGTAGATTTCTTGGCATATGTGACTGGTTTTCTTTCAGGGGACCCATTAACCATGAACAATGAAAATCAAATAAAGAAAAAGTTAAAGTTCATGGCTGAAAATGGCATTCGCCAAGATGGACCTCCAAGGTTCGCCATCTTTGCAGACCGCTTGCAACCAGGTGCACTGCATTGTATAATTAATGTATATAGCAGAAGTTTTTAAATTTTGCTCATCAGGAATCAGTCCAAAGATCTGATATTTTGCTCCAAAGGTCTGATTCCTCGCTGTAGTCTTGGACACATTGCATCAAAGATCAAAGAACACTATAATGATCAGTCCAATAGGTCAACAAATTGTCAGTAGTATTTTCTGATGTAKTAACCAAATGGCCAGGTAGCGTTCTTGATGCACTGTTTTTATTAGCTGTTTTCCTAGTACGACCTACAATAAAGCATCACATAAACACAGTTCCGGCCACTTTCAGTCGTGAGTTGACTAAGGAGAGTTGTGAAACTCCAYGATGATGAACAGATCACTTCCAGCAAGCAAAATAAAGAATGCTTTCTTCTAATAATATAATGTGATTGACAGGATATTGTCAATGAACACTCTTTTCTGATTGGTTCGGCTACATTGGTAAACCTACCTACAAATTACATAAACAAAGTCGCGCCACTTTATTTGTGTGGCGCTCTTGATAMAGTATGTATAAACGAGGAAGAGCAAGATGGCAGGATCCCGCATACACATGTAGGGATTGTGAAGCAGAAAGTATATATCTTGAACAATGATTTCAAATGAATCTTTCTCAACTGCTAAAACATAAATATCTTCAATCTAGTACTATGCGTCATACAGTCACGAGACGAGAAGAATGAGAAGCGGACACAGACCTCGTGCAGGCACAGATCAGAGCACAGGCCTGCACCAAGAACAGCCACAGGTTTCTGGAGCATTGACTTCCCCACMTCCCCAGAAATCTTGGCATCTGGGATGATGATCGATGGTAAGTCCTTTCCGTAAAAAGTCTTCATGCCGCACATCGCAATTGTCAACAAGACTGATAAGGATGTGCCACAAATATATTTCTTTAGATCAAGGTTTTTATTACTTTAATACGTATCCATTATTAATGTACAGTACTAMATTTAAAGATAAAGGTATTTATTCCACAATAGATTTTGATGTAGCGGCTTGAATTTTTTGGTGGGTGTTGGAGGTCACRTGATCCGTTAGAGCATTTGGTAAAAGAAGCTTAAGTCTTTGCGTATGAGATTCATAGATGTGCAAAATTCTTATTAATATAGCACTATTGACTTTATATACTTTAGGGAAAAAGAGGATAAGGATCTTGAGATTAAATGACTTTTGTTTTGCTAAATGAATAAATGACATTTTTTTACTACAGCCACAAATGAACCGCTGCCTCCTCTCACAGAAGAACAAAAAAGGAGGAGGAGAATGAAGAGGAGGAGGAGAATTAACTTCCTTGAAACAGAAAAAAAGAGGAGGAGGAGGAGAAAGAGAAGAAGTAGGAAGTAGCAAAAAGAGATATAAGAAAAGCGCACTAAAATTGCTGTGAGTAAAACCTCCAAATATAGGACCGCATTATGGGCTTTTTCCTGTATTTCTGAAGGTGCTTATATTTGGAGGTTCACGGTGTAGTACAATCTTTTTTTGTGAAACTAATATTTTATAATTATAATTTCTGTAGTTAGGTTTAGGTAATTTCTACGGAAAGCGTAGTCAAGATTGATTAATTGTAATAAAGTACTAAAGTACTAGGAATCTTGGTTTTATGTATTTAGTAACAGGGTAATTTTGTTTGAAGTATCTGCAGGCGATGTATAAAAAACGATAACAAAAAATAGACCTATATATTGACAACAGGATTAACACTTCACTAATTGATGGACGTTACTTCACACCTAGTTGAGACTAAATGAAGAAGTGATTGCTACAATAAGTAAGCAGAAAGTTGGTCAATGAGGCAACCGTGACCTTTAACGCGGACAATCACAGGCAAAAACCATCATGTCTTCTGTGATAATTATTTCACATCAGTTCATCTAGCTGAAGATTTAATGAAAGACCAAGTCTACTCATGTGGAATGATAAAAGCAAACAGTTCGGGTTATCCTAAGGAGTTAGAAAAAAACAACCCGACGTGAAGCGCCTAAAGGCGAATCCTTGTTCAAACCAAAGAACATTCTTGTTGCAGCTGTTTGGAAGAACAAGAGGCTTGTTAACGTTTTAAGCAGCCAGTCAAATCCTGTTGGAGATGACACTGAGACACAAAAACAATGAGATGGGACAATAATCGATGCGCCTGGCACTCCGATAGTAAAGAGCTACAACGCTAACATAGGTGGTGTTGATCGCAGTGATCAATCTCTCAGCTACTATGCTGTCGGACTCAAGTCCAGAAAGTGGTGGAGATACCTGTTTTGGTTTCTCAATGACTTGAGCATTGTAAATGCCCTCATTTTAGAAATGCTGGCGCCACATCATAGCTCACAAACACAGCTTCAATTTAGATGTCTCTCTTACTGACTTTGACTCTTAAAAGCGCAAGTCACACATAATATCTACTAAAACTACTTTGCGTTTTTTGTGACGCAAAAAAGCTAAACAAGTTGCAAATATGATTTTATCTAACCAATACACAAAAAATCTTTCTGTGAAAGTCTCATCAGACAACGAGCTTAGCTCATTATCTAACAGCTTGAAATATGTACCAACACCATCTATATCAGTGTCTAACTTTCCTCTAGTACGAGACTTCAAAAAGTTCTCTTACACTTTAAGGTTAAATTATCTTTTTGCCGACTCTGACAAAAAAATTTATCCTTTTCATGTTAAGTCATCTTGGAATATTATAACATTTTTTTGTTGTTGTTATGTTAATGTTTTTATTTTCAACTACAGACTCGACATCAAGAACATGAAATCATAAAATATTGAGCATGTCGTGAAATTAAGCTATCGCTTAGGTAGTAATATTGATCATAATAGCGATGTTTTGAAAATTTCACCAATTTTCATAATAGTTCCCTTAAAGAAAAAAATATGTCCATTTCTTCCAGTCAAAGGTACAGATAATGTGCTACAAGTTTTATCTCCAGTTAATGTTGGCAGTGTTCATTAGGCACTATTACTTTTTTTATAAAGATAGATTTCACTTGCCTCCACCCAAAGACATGTATCTAGTGCTAAAAAATGTAAAGGGCATCCTCAAGACAGTCTAGCCAAGCTGTAAAGCTCTTGCTACTGATGATTGGGTAAGAGCAAATGCAAAGATACCATGATCATTAAGCAATAGCAGCTCTCTTAGGAAACAAATCATGCGAGAATTTATTTTGATAAGAAAGAAATAATATGATAAAATTTATTATTTATTACTYCTTTAAGCCCGGTTTTCTCAAATTGATGTGAAAATTTTGAAGACGAATATGCCTTGGTAAGTGAATTAAAGCCATTTATTTCAACACCACATAAGAACGTTATTAAAATAACAGTTGCGTTGATTTTTTTCAGGTAAACCATGAAGGCGTTTCTGAAGAAATTCTTTTCCAACTTAATGGCCTGGATTTTGAAAAGTATGTTATATTGAAAAATGTCCTGTATTCCTGKAGGTGCTTATTATTATATTTGGATGTTTGAGGCATAGTAAAATCTTGAAGTCAAACCAAATAATTTAGTAGTTAGTGTAGGTAATTTCTGGAATGATTTAAAATGTATCTTTCACACCTGCTGAAACATAATTATCTTCATACAGTCACGAGGAGAGGGAGAAGCGAGTGCAGACCTCATGTAGACACAGATCTGAGCACAGGCCTGCCCAGAACACACCCAGGTTTCTGGAGCATTGACTTCCCACATCCCCAGAAATCTTGGCATCTGGGATGATGATCGATGGTAAGTCCTTTCCATAAAAATTCTTTATGCTGTGCATCTAAATCGTCAACAAGACTGAAATGGAAGTGTGAGAAACAYATTTCTTTATGTCAATGTTTTTATTACTTTAATACCTATCCATTATTAAAGTAAGCCTGTAATAGATTTGGAAAGAGATTTGTTTTGCATTAGTTTTTGATGTAGCGGCGTTTACTAATTATATTTTATTCCTTCTTACAGGGACGTAATGATCTCATCAAATTCATCACTTATTAGGCGGCGCCTCCGAACTCCTCAATGTTTAGTCTAAATAATGGTCTATTATCATACCAACTTGCACCTCGAAGGGACCGCCATCTGCTCCGCCAAACAAGAGGAAAAGAGAATAGTGATTAATTTTGTTAATCTAAATTTATCATGTGTTTTATATTATGTTAACGTTTTGTACTACTCAAAACAGTGGTCTTTCAGGTGCAAAACGATATTATTAAAATTCTTAGAAATTTAAATTATTATGCAATAGCATTTAAAACTATTCAAACTATTCAAACGCCCAAAAATACTTGAACTTAAGAGCTTGCCTGATTTGTCCAGGGAAATCTCCAAATCTAAACATGCAAGTCACCGCCGAATTCTATGGTAATTCATTAGTTGATATATACAAATTCTACTTGCTATCTTCTTTTTCGAAGCAGCCATCTTSAATAAATTGTGCTAGGCGTTCAAAATAAAGCCTAGAGAGACTGAACCCTAGTTTACCCATCTGACTTTGCAGTTTTAAAAAAAACCGCGAATCTTAGTGTGCCAAAATTATTGTGTTTGTAATAACTTCGGGAAATTTTTTGAAATGTCTGAYGTATATAAAGGAAAAGAGTTGATTTCTCTCACTGAATGCCCCAACACAAAGCTCCACTATATCTTGGAGCAACGCGAAAGCGGCAATGATGTAGTTTTCTGGTTAAAAATAAGAATGGAGGCCCTTGCTGCATGGAGACGAACCATGGTTTGTTCTTCTCAGAGTCTGAAGTACATCGAACTCATAAATTTAACCATTCCTGGAGATGCTTTTCGACTAAATAAGGAAAGTGTTCGACTAGAAAAACARTTTTCAAGGATTGCTATTGATTCTGAAAACAAAAGGAAAGCCCTCAACAAAATGGGAAATCTGAAAAAGAGAAAACAAYTTTTGGAAAGCTGGAAAAAATTTGCAATTTTGAAAAATATTATAACAGTGGAAGAATGGAAATCAAAACTCAGCGACCTCGAACAAAAATTGCAGATAGCAGAGAGCCAAATAGAGGAATTAAAAGAAAAATATTCTGACATTGAAAAGAAAAAACAGGAACTTTTCATGGAAATGGTCAAGGAAAAAGAAGTTCTCAATATCTGCCAAGAGGAAAATGAAAAAATGAAAAAATATATAAGGCAACTTGAAAAAGACCAGTATTGTCAAGTCAGGGGCACAGCTATTCCTAAGCTTAAGTCGACTCAAGCCCAAAATAAGAAATTAAAGGAATTAAAATCAAGAGCTCAAAAGGCTCTGTATTTCAGTAGTCTTTTTGGGCTCGAGCTTGACTGCCTAAAGTTGAAGGATCCAGACAGCTCCAAGACATACAATATTGAATTCAACAGCTCATCTCCTACAGAACCACTAGTTTCCTCTGCTTCCCCAAATGCATCATTGACACAGGACAAAACTTTACCTGCTACACCACCCTCYAGCTCTGAAACKTCATCAACWTCCAGCTCCCCTAATATGAATGATCAGTCTTCACCACAAACACAATTCTCTAAACTGAATGAGGATGATAAAGCCAGGGTCGAGAGTATTCTCTACCTCCTTGATAAATTTGGGGTTGGAGATGAATTGTTACATGAATTGTCCATGACCATAGATGGATTGCCCAAGTCCTACTTGATTAAACAATGTAGAAGTGAACTCAACAAGAACTGCATAATTACTTCTACCCCAGGCAAGGCCCCAGGTGCACAGCATCATTTCAAACAATTACTAACTGATCAAGTTCAACAAATGGTATGTACATATTTGTGTCTTGTTTTTATTTTCAGATTGTGGAGGCCGTACTTGTAATGCTCTCTTTAGAAGGTTTCTAATTTACTTACATCAGTAAATTATTGTCTTTACAGAGAAAGTCCAATGTGATTCAAGAAGGTGAGAAGGTGAAAGTTAAATTGAGTGGTGATGGTGCCAGAATGAGTAGGGCGAGTAATTTTATATTGCTCAGCTTTTCAATTCTTCAGAGTACAGATGATCTATTATCATCAARAGGTAAATATTACTAGATTTGTACAATTTATAAGATGAACTAAAGTGTTTTTCATAGGAATTTGATTAAACAATTTCAAATTATCTCATAGGTACTCACACCATAGCTGTAGTAAATGGCCCTGAAAGCAGAGAAACTATAGAAAGCAGCTTTAAGGACATTTTTGATGAGGTCAATGATATAATAAAGGATGGCTACATAACTGTGGATAACAAACAATTAGAGATAGAGATGTTTCTTGGAGGTGATTACAAGGTACACTTCATRTATACAGTCATATTCCATGCAATAAAATGTTATATTTATGGACTAGGTATTAAGCATAAAAAGTTGTATTTCCTTATCTGCGTAAGTCGTTTATCTTTTCAGTTCCTGCTGCTGGTTATGGGCCTCACTG